GCTAGCCTTGAGCTGAAGAGCTGAGGGACAGCGCCCAGGCCCAGAGTTCAGGTCCCACAACCGGACCAAAAAAAACAGAAAAAGAAAAGAAAACACTTGGCCACAGAAGGTGAACACAGACACACTGAAACATGCCTTTGAGAAGAGTCAATGCCGTGTGCAGTGCTTGATGGAACATCGTTGAGTAAAGAACCTAGCTCCCATCCCACCACTGGGCATTTTCAACAAAACATCATTTTATTTCCTGGTTACCACACATTTTCATGAACGTAACAGATCTCCACTACTATACATAATATAGGTCAGTATTAACAACTAAGTGCAATGTAATTCCTTATAGGAAGAGCCAGCTTAAATTCCCAACTTCACAAACTTTCTGAAATCAGCAAAGCTACTGCAGCATTTTCTTTAAATGGGTACCAGTCTTGCTATATACAGTGTTAAAACAATGGCAAAATAAAAATATTCATAAGCCATTGTAGCATATTATTCCAAAAATGTAGCAGTCTTCACATTTAAATGTTGATATATTTAAAACACAGTTTCAAGAAGAAAATTTAGGCCAGCTGCCAGTGGTTCATGCCTAGCATGTAATACTAGCTACTCAGAAGGTTGAGATCTGAGAATCATAGTTTGAAGCCAGCCTGGGCAAAGAAGTCTGTGACAGACACTCTCTTTAATCTCCAATAAACTACTCAGAAAAAGCCAGATGTGGTACTGTAGATCTAGTGGTAAAGCACTAGCCTTGAGTAAAAGAAACTCAGGGACAGTGTCCAGGCCCTGAGTTCAAGCTCCAGGACCAGCACAAAACAAAAAAATCAAACAAAAAAAAACACATGAGCCAGCGCCCGTGGCTCACGCCTGTAATCTTAGCTACTCAGGAGGCTGAGATCTGAGGATCACGGTTCAAAGCCAGCCCAGGCAGTAAAGGAAAATCCATGAAACTCTTATCTCCAATAAACCACTCAGAAAACCAGAAGTGGCGCTGTAGCTCAAGGGGTAGAGCGCTCACCTTGAGCTGAAGAGCTGAGGGACAGCACTCAGGCCCAGAGTTCAAGCCCCACAACCAACAAAAAAAAAAACAAAACATGAATATTGAAAAGAAAGGCTAGCTTCTGGGAAAGGGAAGTATATGAACCTTTCCCAGTTCTTCCAGCTAAGTGCAACTAAAATCCCTAGATAATTAACAAATCTAGGTTTTAAAGCAAGACCCTACAAAAGAGAGCGAAAGCATACTAGCCAGGGCCCTCAACACATGAGGGTAAACAGGATTTAAGTTCCCTGGGTTTCATTTTTGCTTCATATGTCTCAAACCAGGAGCTAAAGATGCCAGTGATGCAAATACAAAACAAAAGCCCAGCATAAGTCTGCCCTCCATGTGCAGAGGACCTGGGGATGATGGTGTAAAAACCAGAAAACTATTTGACAATAAAAGTTGTGGTCTAGTCTACTACTATTCAGTCATTCCTTCACCGCCAATACACTTTGTTTGTGGTAGGGCTGAGCAAGATTCCCTACAACCCTTACAGTGGTATCAGAGATGGCTAAGGGGAAGCCAGAGCTGGGTGCCAGGCTTACATCTGTAATTCTAGCTTCCTCAGTCTGTGATCTGAAGGATCACGATTCAAAGCCAGCCTGAGCAGAAATGTCAAACTCTAAAATAGCCAGGAAAAATCAAGGCTGGAAGCATGGGTTATGTGGAAGAAAGCCAGCCAAGCAAGAAAGCTGAACAAGAACAAGAAGCCTAACCTGTACACGTACACACACACACACACACACACACACA